TTATGTGATGTGATGGTTTTAAATTATGTGATATTTATGTAAATAACCATATATATAATTACATACATATTAATACATTTTTTATTGTTATTATAATAATTATAAATTTCATCTATAATAATTTAATAAAAAAAAACTAAATAGTAAAAATTATTTATTATATTATTTATCAATGGCTCTATTAAAATAAAGTAAATTTAACATAAATAAAAAATTTTGTAAAAGATTATATTATTTATTACTTAGAATATTTTTATAATTACTGAAACTTCTCTTTATACCAATATCAGAAATGAATAACTATATATAAAATAAAGCAATTTTTGAAAGAGAAAGTAAATTATTAAATTTCTCTTTTTAATATCAATTCAAATTTAAATTTTCATCCAATTTTTCACCAAATTTACAATAAATGTTCTATTTATTTAACAAATTATTATTTAAAATTCTAAAATCCTCAATTTCAATATAAAGTTTAATATTTGTCTTGATATTGAGTAATGAATAAATTTAGTATTGAAGTACTGAATGGCTTTAAAAAATAATAATGCAAATAATAATGCAGAATAGTTATTGATATGCTTTGCAAATTTATTAAATGATAATTGAAAAAAGTTTATAAGAAAATTGACTTGAAAAACATTAAATTTAAGTTTTTTTATTGAATTTTGTTTAACATATCTGCATTAAATGAAGGATTGTTAATACCTGCTTGTAATAGTTTACAGGTATAATTAATTTTTGAAAAAACATAAGGAATCACAGGTTTATTACAGATTTTAAAAAATTCAAAATCTTGAATCAGTCTAATAAATTTAATAGCTTAGTTAGTAATCAATAATAATATATATACATATATAATTGTAATAAAATATTTTTATATACCATTGAGCATTTAAGGTAATAAATTCAATAATCATTTTGATTATTGAAATATTTTTATGAATTGATAAAGTTTCAACCAATTTTTTAATTAATTTTAGAGAATTACTAAGTATATTTTCTGTAATTATGAATTGAACCAAATATGAAAAGTATGGTTTTAACTAAATTACAAAATTAAACTAACTATTTTAACAAGTCTAGACAAATAAAGGAAGTAATTGTAAATTAAGTTCAGAAGATTCTAAAGATAAATTAAAAGAATTCGATGAAGTAATATTTGAAGAAAAAAACTTTAATCATCTTTTTTTTATAAATAGATGTATATGAAAATGCATTTTTGATATTTGAAATTACATAAACATAAAGTTTAAAACTATCAAAATATATTTAACAATTCCTAACTAAACTTAAAATATAGCCAAAACAGTAATTATGTTTAAGTTAAGATATTCAATGAGCTAACATATCTGAATAAGCTTTTTTCATATATGTGATATTGTTACTAATAAATAGGATAACTTTCAAAAAAGAAATATTATAAAAACTTAAAATTATTATAATTAAATAAGAAATTATAGAATGATTAATACTATTTAGATATTCTGTTTTCATCAACTTAGTTTGAGTTTAAAAGCTAAATAAAATATTCACAACACTATGACTACAAGTATCTGTAGTTTCATCAATAGTAATTGAAATAATTTGATTAATTAAACTATTTTTTAATTCATCTACTTCACGTTGAAAAATTTGTAAAAGGTAATGTTTACACATTTGATTTGCACTAACTATTTTATCATCTATAATTAAAAATTATATATTAGTTTAATATATAGTTTATAATTCTATGATTATAATATAATATTGATTAATTTACTATTAATTATATATTTTTTAAAAAATTTTTGCAATCTATTAATTTTTTCAAGTGAAATATCAACTTCTACAAATGCTTTAACTAATGCTGAATTGATATCTTGTTTCTTTTCTATATTCAGCTGATTTGAAAATAACTTAATGTTTTTTCTTTTTTTATATAATACAGAATTAAGATGATTATTGATTGTGGATTTTTTAACATGACTAATGACATGTTTACAAATGATACAAAACATTTTATTATTTGATTCATAGAAGTCATCTTTATAATTACTGGAATTAACATATTCTAAAGCTGCAACTTTTGCTTTTTCTATCGATAAAATTAGAACAGTAAAAATTTTAATGTTAAAACTGATTACAATTTAATTTCTCTTTAATTAAATAATAACAATATAACAATTATAATTATTAATATAACTAGCAATTGTAATAACTATGATGTATAAATGGTAATTGTGATGATTATGACAATTATATACTAGTATGATCATATGAAATATGTGAGAGATGGTTTGATTCATGTTTTTTGCTGTGACCTATACTGAATTGAAAAAAATTCTAATTTAGTAGAATTATTGATTATTATTTATTTGTTTTTAGGAAGTCTTAAGTATAATTATATTGTGTATAGTTTTAGTTGATTACTTGTGATTTGCTGATAATCTATTACAGATATTTATTCCAATATTCTTGAAATCTGTGACTATTGTGATGTTTTTTTATCAGTATAACTGTAATTATTTGAATTTTTTGGTTAATGTCATGATGAAAACATTATAATACTTAAATGTTCATGTAAAGTGTGCAAGATGGTTTTTGTTCAACTTTTTTTAGGTGTTCACTATTACTATGCTGATTTCTGTAAATCTCTTTTACCAGTACAATCATATGAAATATGAGAGGGATGGTTCTGTTCAACTTTTTAGGCATGGCCTAACAAATTTTGAAAAAATCCTATTTTAGAAGGGGTAATGATTTTCATTTATCTATTTTCAGAAGGACTTAAAATTTTTACATATGGTATGACATAATTTTGCATGTAGATCACTCAATTATAATGCAAAACTGACATCTCAAAATTTATCTCATTATGATGCAACAAATTTTTATGCTATTGACAAAATTTAATTTACTATCAGTTATTTCACAAAGTGATTCTAGTCATTATGGTTCTGTTCATTTTACTGATACTTATTTTAAACACAACATTTATCAAAAATCAATTCATTGACATGTCTATTTACCTGACACTTACAGCTAATTTCATAAATTCTAGGACACCTAAAAATTTTCATGTTTCCTGAAACCTTTTTGATCCTGTTCTAAGAATCATCTAACTTTTCAGAAACCACTTCACTGTCTTCATAGTGAAATCTCAAGGTCAGTGAAGTAGTTTTTGAAAAGTTAAGTGATTCTTAAAACAGGATCGAAAAGGTTTTAATAAACAAGAAAATTTTTAGGTGATTCAAAATTTATAAAAGCAGTCATAATTCACTGATTAACCCATTTGCTGACATTCAATTCACTGACAATCAATTCACTGACAAAGTAATTATACCAGAATTATGGTTAAGGTTAGTGAATTTAACATGTCAATGAATTGAATGTTGGTGAATTAAGCTTGTTAATGAAATAAACATGTTGGTAAATTGATTGTTAATGGAGTATTGTGTCTACAAAATGAGTGTCAGTAAAATTAGGTGGATCTTATAATCATTAGGGTTAGGTAGAATAAAGATTAGTACAAGTTTTAAAAAACTTGCTGTGAAATTTTACCTTTTGTTTCTTTTTTTGAGCTTGAGTTTCATTTTTCACTACTTATTATTTTCATTATCTTCATAATTATAGTTACGGAGAATCAGTAATATAGTTATTATCTGATTTAATTTACTTGGTAAAAATTATTGAGAAAGTATAGGTTGCGTTGGAGAAGTTATGGAGTCTAATTCTACTAAAGCAAAAAAAAAACTAGAAACTAATAATAGAAGAAAGCAAAAAAAAAAGAGAATAGGTAAATTGATTTCCTTGAGCTTTTCACAACGGCGTACATGATCGTACTGGTCCTGCGCCGCGTCACACGCTGCGCAGCTACTCTAATTACATATGCTATTATTATTCGCTTAAAAATGACCGCACAAATCACGTGAATTTGATAAAAATTAATCGCATTTTATGAGCCTATTATGCGATCGCATATGTCCGGTGTCTCTATTATGTACGTGGTTACTCGCATAAATATCGCATAATTTGAAACCATCACATCGCATAGCAATGCGCATAATCTGGGGTCTCTACTTAGAAGTTACAATTCAAACACGGCAAATACTTCTATTACTAATTATTTAACACTTGTATTATTTTGCCACTTAACAATCTTTGATTGTAATCCTAAACAAAACCGTTACGGGATGCAAACGTGCATAAATTGCAGGAAATTTAAAAAATATGCATTTTGCTTGTCAACTAATCTGGGAACACAATGTATATAAATAACGATTTATGTATGTTTATTTTTTTTTTACAAAAGTTTTTTTATATATTCAATATACAGCACGTATGACTAAATGCTAAGATATAAAATGAATGTAAATTAAAATAAATAAATTTTGAATGAAATGCAATGTTTGATGACATTCAAAACAAAAAAAAAAAGAAGTCTATTCCCAATTTCAACCCAAAGAAAGGAAAAAAAAAACCAAATATTTATTAAAAAGCTAAACTAGAAAGCCCAGCATATTTAGTTTAGTTTGGTAAAGAAAAAAAATCACGTTGTATAAATATAAAAATTTTTTTTTTTTTGGTCTTTTTTTTTACATTAGAAATGATTAAAAAATGTACATAGATATGTGATGCATGATGTAATGAAAAAAAATCTATAAAAAAAAATCTTAGCTTATCGGAATCGATAACAATGACAATGTTTTTTTTAATGTTAGTTAATTATCCACCCTCAAAAATTTTTTTTGGCAATATTGGTATCATCCCGATAAGAAATTTAAAACCATAGGGTGTAGTAAATGTTCATAATATTGTCTCTGTATAATTGTTCAGAATTATTATATAAAAAAAACCAATTTTAGTTATTTTCACATTAAATAACTCGAATCTGAACTAACTCTAACCAAACTTTACGCGTCATCTTTAAATAAACAATGCCGACAAAGTATAGAAGCTTCGAAATAAAACTCGAAATAAAATAATTATAGATCTCTCCTTTTATAATTGAGACTATATTAGAAACACATAAACTTGTTTCTCTTTGCAACGAGTTTTTCCATTTGATTCTCAATTGCTATTCGTGCCTTTTCAGCCTTTTCTTTGGCTTTGCGTTCTTCTTCAAGTACACTTTCCATGACTTTCTTTTCTTCTCGTACAGTTGATTTGGCTTGTTCTACTTGTTGTTGAGCATCATCTAACTGCGCCCTTAAATTCTTGATCTGTTCAAGGAACTCTTGCTTCTCGCGTTGTAATATAGTTAATTGTTGTTTGGCTACGCGTAGATTTGTTTCGTTATCATTAAGTGAGGACTCCAATGTTTCAACAAGTTGATGATTTTGTAAATTTTCATTCTCCATCTTTGCAATTTTCTTTTGTAATTTTTGTATTTCTACTGCGAGTTCTGACGATGTACTAGAATCAGATCTATGTCTTGAATCTGGACGTGGAAAGAGTGGTGTTGATGGTGGTGAGATTGGACTTTGAGGAACAACTTGTTTTGGAGGTGGTGGTGGTGGATGATTTGGTGGTGGTGTAGGTGGAGGTGCATTTGCATGATTTCCAGCGATTGATCGCAAACTTTTCTTTGTTTCTGATGAATTGGACGTTATTGATGAAGCAGAATTACGTGCCTCAGCATTTGCTTCTTGTAATAACTTGCGTGATTCTTCAAGTTCTGCAATCTTATCTTGTAAAGCTTTTATAACATTATTTTGCTGTGCAATGGTGACTTCTTGACGTGAGAGTTTGGATTGTTCACGTAAACTTATATCATCATCAGGCGAACCAGATTCTGGTAATATACCAATGTCCTTAGAAGATCTGGGATTAATCTTGATTTCGTTTTCAAGCTGATCATTGATCTCTAAAAGCCTAGTGATTTCTTTCTCCATTTCTTTTGTATCAGCTAAAGTTTGTTTCCTTAAATCGAAAATTTCTCTTTCCAAATTAACGATCTGTTCGTTTAATTCAGAAACCTGTGCACCAGTTTTATTTTCTCCAGTACTCACTGATCGTAATTGTTGCATTAAGAATTCAATCTTTTGATCAAGTTTCCCACGTTCATCAAAAAGTGCCTCATTAGCTTCTTCTAGTCCATTTTTTTCCATTTCAAGTTCTTTTATCTTACTTTTTAATACTTTAATGGATTCTTGATCACTTGATCCAAGTCGAATAAGTTCATTCTCTAAGGATTTGACTTTATCATTTAGCACTTGTGTTTGTTCTTCTGCTTCGGCAATTTTGGCGTTCAGAATATCATTCGTCTGACGTAATTGTTCATTTGCAGCTGCAAGTTTAACAAGTGATGGGTTTGTATTCTCAGTTCCATTAAAGTCTGTAACCATGTCATCAGAGAAATCTTTCTTTGCTTCTTGCAAAGCATTTTCCAATTCTGCAATACGACACTTTTGTTGTTTTGATAACTCATCAGCATCTTCAAATTTAGAAGCGGCTTCTGCAAACTCTTCAGCCAGTGTTTCAAGGTCTTTTTGTAATTGTTCAACTTGATCTTCAAGATCTTCATTACGTTCGCATTGTATTTTCTTTTCTGATTCAAGTTGTTTGGTAGTTTTCTCTAATTCTGTGACACGATCTTGTTGCTCTTGAACTTGACTTAGAGCTTTTTTAAGTTGGCTAGTAAGCTCTTCAATTATATTACTATCGATGTTCTCATAACTCTGAATTACAGAATCACGATGAGCATTACCAATCTCTTCTTGTAATTGTGCACATTTCTCTCGGAGTGATGAAATTTCTTCTTCTGCTTGTTTAAGTTTAGAAATTTCCTGTTGATGACGATTTTGAACTTCTTGAAGTTTATTTTCCAAACTTTTAATATGTTGGACGTGTTTGACTTCATAAGATTTAAATTTATTAAGTTCAGCTTCTGATGCTTCAAGTTCAGCTGCAAAAGTATTAATTTGCATCTTTGTTGCTTCAGCAAGCTTAGCGTCAAGTATTTTTATGCGTCCAATAGCTTCACTTTCCGATACTTTTACAGATTGTAATTCGGTTTGAGTATTTTGTATTAACGTTTCCAGCTCAGCAACAAGTTTATCTTGATTGCTGACACTGCTTTCTTTTTCTAATAAATTTTTTGTTGCTTCTTTAAATTTGATTTCCAATTCTTTGATCACATTGGTCCGTTTTTCATCAGAATCTTTGGCTTCTTTTAATTGTAAACGAACTATTGAAAGTTTTTCTTCAAGATTAGAAATAGTTTCCTTGTTAATTTTTGAAGAATCCTTAGCCATGACCAATTCAGTTTCCAAATTCGTCAAAGTAGATTCTAATTCCCTAATGGCATCTTTTTGATTAGATTCTCTTTCTTTAAGAATTGTTGTCAATTCATTTACACGTTTAGTCATTTCATTTCGTTCTTTTTCAATAATATTCATTTGAGCTTCAAGTTCAACAATCATTTCATTTTGAGCTGACATCTCAAGTCTAACATTAGTTAACTCTTCACGTAAATTTCCCACATTTTCATTACCAGCAGCTCCTGCAAGCTTATAAGTTTCAACTTCAATTTCCAAAGCTTTGACACGTCTTTGTCCATCATCTCGTTGTTTTTGGGTATCTTTTAATAAAATTGTTATTTTCTCTAATTCTTCCGTTGATGAATTGGTATTCTCTTTGGCAAATGCTAAATCTTGTCTAAGTGTTTTTAATTCATCCTCTAAAGACACCACAAGTTCTTTTTGGAGACTAAAACCTCCCTTCATAGATTGAAGTTCTTTGACAGCAGTCTCTTTTGAATTTCTAATTTTACGAAGTTGCGATTGAAGTTGTTCAATTGTCGTCTTTTGTTCAGATTCAAGTTGTTTTAAAAATGCTACTTCTTCCTTCACTGTTTCAAAGACCTTTATTTCCTTTTGAGCAGAGATATATTTTGATTCTAAATCTTGAACAGTTCTTCGTAAGTCTGCTTCTGATGCTCTTAATCCGGCAATTTGATCTCTTAAAACAGAAATATTTGGATCTTCATTTTTAATAAGTTCTAACCGAGATTCAAGAGTTTCAATTTGTTTACGTTGTTCTCGTTCATTTTCACATAGATTTTCAATTTCTTCTTTTAATAGTTTAACTTGATATGAATCTTTATTGACTGATTCATTCAATTGAAATTCTAAATCTCTTATTTTCTTAATTTGCTCGGCTTCCTTAGATTTTAATGAAGCAATCTCACGTTTAAGAGTCGTTAATTGGGATCTATCTTCAGCTTTTTTAAGTTTAACCTCTAGATTTTCAATAGTACGTTTTTGTGCAGATTCAGATTCACGTGCAAGTGCTAATTCAGTTTTTAATTTAATAAAATCTTCATCAACTTGTCCACCTTGTTCAGAAAGTCTTCCTTCCAAGATTGTAATCCTTTCTCTTTGAGCAATTTCAACAACACGTAAATGTTCTAATTGTTCTTGTAAATGAGTTTCCTCTTGATCGGATCCCAACCTTGCTTTGAGAACATGAAGTCTATCAAGTGTAACTGCTTCCCTAGCTCGAACATCCTTGAGTTCTTTTCTTAAAGTTTCTAATTCTGTTTGAAGAACTTTATTCACATCCTCACCATTTTCTAGCTTTTCTAATCTTGTTTTAAGTTTATTCATTTCATTTTCAAGTTCGGTTTCTTGTTTATGAACCTCCATAAGTTTAGATCTAAATACTAATGCTTCAGCCTCCTTTTCTTTTAATCGTTGTTGGATGTTTGCCTTATCAACAAGATCACGTTTAAGTATTTCGATAAGTTCATATTTATGATGAATGTCCAATTTGAGTGTTTCAAGTTGTTCTTGAAGTACAGTCACAATTTCTTGTTCATTTTGTAAATTTTTCGTGGTTTTTGATTTAAGATCAAGCTCTTGTTTCAACGTAGCGAGTTTTTCCTGAAGACCACCAACAGCTTGGTAAGTTGGGTCAGAACTATTAATTATAGAATCTCGTGGAGAAGGAAAACTTGGAACTTCTTTGGCTTTAATTAATTGTTCTTCAAGAGATTTGATTTTTTTCTCTAAAGTTTCAGCATGCTTATCGGCAAAGTTATATTCTTCTTCTTCTTCTTCTTCTTCTGATATTGTAGTCAATTTTCCATTTTTTTCTTCTGTAATTAGTCGATATGCTTCTTTTGATTCTTGAAGTTCTTCCTCGAGTTTCCGAATATGGTTTTGATTTTCAACTGTAGGGTATAATAATGCAGCTATTGTATGACTTTTTGATTCAATTTCACCCTGAAGTTTATCAACCTGTTGTCGTAATACTAATATTTCATTATTTTCATCAGATACAGTAAATGCACCTTCAAGACGAGCTGCTGCTTCATTGACATTAGATTGTCTTTGAGTTTCTCGTTCATCCTCTAATTCTTTAATTCTGGATTGTAGTACAAGAATATCATTTTCAGTACCATTATTATCAATCATACGTTGCATTTGAGCTTTAAATTCAGTGATATTTGATTCAATTTTCGAAATTTCATCAATTTTATCTTCATCTTTCTCATTTTTTGCGATTATTTCAAGATTTCGTCTTTGTTCTTCTTTAAGTTGTTCAACTTCTTCTCTAAGACGATGAACAATATCTAGTTGATCTATTTCACTAGTAGCAGCAGAATAACCAGATTCGGTATAAGCATATTCAGAAGTCATTACTGACATAACTTCAATTTGAGCTAGAGCATCTCTCCTTTTTATTTCTTCACGAAGTTCTTCAACAATTTCAAGAGTTTCAAGATGATTAACTTCTAATCGAGCAAATTCTTTTTTAACAGCGTCTAAACCATCAGCTTTATCCTTATGTAATGATTCCAATTGTTTAAGTTCAATTTGAAGTTTTTGAATCATTGCTAAACTTGAAAGTTCACGTTTTTCAGCACCTTGAATTTCAGCAGAAAGTGATCTTGATTTACGATGAGAACCAGAATTAGGGGGTGATAATGAATTTGAATCATAACCATTATCAGGTTGGTTAGTCGTTGGAGATGAATCATCATTATCAATATTAACTTCAAAATGTAATACTTTTGCATCTTGAAGTTGAGTTTGAAGTTCATCAATTTCTCCAAGACATGATTGATATCTTTCTTTAAGTTCGGAAAACTCCGAAACAGTTTTTTCATGAGTTTTTTGTAATTCATAAAGTTTAGATTCAAGATTCAATACTATTGAATAATCTCCAGCAGTAGGCATTGGAGTATTTGAACTTGGAGGGGTAGAAAATGGAGTATCAACATCAGATGATGAAGAAGAAGTTGAAGATGAACGACGATGTTTACGACGAGGAGCCTTATTAACATCAACTTTAAGTTTTTTGAATTGAGCAATTTCAGAGATAAGATCATCAACTTTTTTCTCAAGTTGAGCAATTCTACGATCTCTATCTTCAATTTCAGTCATTAATAAATTTTGTTGTTGTTCATCTTGAGCTTTTTCTCTTTTATATTTTGCTTCTAATTTAGCGTAAGCATCTTCTCTTTCCATTAAAGCTTTTTCAAGATGTTGAGCAGTTTCATTCATTATTTCAGCTTTACTTTCACTTCTTGATAAACGAGTTTCTAATTTTTGAATAATTCCTTCATTATTTTCACCATTAGTTCGAAGTTGAGAAATTTTATTTCTAAGATCATTTATAATTTCTTGATCTCTTTTTTGTTCACTAGCATGAGAATCAAGTTTAACTTCAAGATCTTTAATATAACTTTCAGTAGTTTCTTCACGTTCATTAAGTTTTGAAATTTTATTTTTAAGATCAGTAATTAAAGTTTTATTTCTAGAATTTAAATCATCAGCCTCTTCAAGTTTCATTTCTTGATCTTGCATTAATTTTTCAGTAGTACTTAAAGAAGCACGAGCAATTTTTAATTGACTTTCAAGTTCATTAATAGATTTTTCATATTCAGCAATAACAGGAGCAACAGTTTCTTGAAAAGATGCAGTAGCATGAGTTAAAAAATCCACATCATCATCATTTTCCAATATAGCATTTAATTGACGAGAAGAAGAAGGAGGAGGAAGAGGAGAAATATCGTTATCTTGATAAACGGATAATTCAGCGGAGATTTTAGCATATTTTTGACTTAATTCAGAATAAGAACGTTGTAATTCAGAAAATTGATCTTCAAGAGCTTCTAAATCTTTATCATTTCTTGGAGAATTTACAAAATTATTAAAATTATTAGGAATAAAAGAAGAAGAAGTAGAAGGTCTACGAATATTAATAACATCAGAAGGAGTACTTCTACCCGAAGTAGGAGTAATACCAGAAGAAAGTTTTAAATTTTTAATTTCAGTTCTTAATTTTATAACTAAATGTTGTAAATGTTCTAAATCATGCCAACCAGCTTCTTCTTGAGTTACGGTAGCAACATTTTTTATATTTCTTGCACGATTAGCATATTTTAAAGTATTTACTGTTTCAGATATATTATATTCAGCAGGAGAAACACAAGCAATCATTAAAGTTTGAGCGTTACCACCAAGAGAATCTTGTAATAATCGAGTAAGTTTTGAATCCCTATAAGGAATATGTGTTGTACTTTTTGCTTTTGTTGGATCACCCAAAGCAGAAATTACGTTACCCAATGCCAAAAGACCAGAGTTAATTGAAATTCCTTCTTTTGCACGATCACCAATCGCGGATGTACGTTTAAGCTAAATAGATAATAATAATAATAATAATAATAATAATAATAATAATTATAATAATAATATTGTTGTTGTTATTATGATATATAAAAGTTTTCTCATTAATAATTAATAATCAATTCAAGTAATTATTTCATTAAAAAAAAATTAAGGAATTATAATACAAACCCTTTCACTACCAGCTAAATCGACGAAATGAAATTTACTCGTTACAGAAACCCAATCACCATCATCAGTACGTTTACCCATTCTAGAACCAGCTCTTGAAGGAGGAGAACCGAGCCTTGAATCAGCAAATTTACTTGGAGTTGATGGACGTGATAAAGGAGTTGGGGTTGGACTTGTTGGACCACCACCACCACCAGATGGAATAAACTTTTGTTGAGAGAGAGTAACAGAAAAAATAGCATGTGAACGCGAAGATTGAGCGTTCATATCCGTCGCACTCACTTGCCGACTTGCCGAACCACGTGATAGTTGACTAAATTAAGTTTGTAAATATTATATTTGAATTAAATTAGTAAATTAGAAAAGTTTATAAAAACAAAATAGTAATTAAAAACATACGTCATAACTTCTTCGGCAGTGCTAACTTTAATTTCTTGTAAACCACTCCAAATGATATTTCCTTTAGAATCTTCTCTTATCAACACTTGAGGTTTACATTCATCATCACCTTCGCTAAGAAGATCAATCAAGTCTTCATTATATATTTCCACAAAAGATACCTTCATAGTGAATTTTCGATTTTTATATTGAGCAGAATTTATGTATGAAAAGAGTGTAGCCATTGACCGCGGGATTATACCTCTTGATTCTGGAAGAGAAGACAAACTATCGGCAGTACCCATAGTATGAGTTTTACCGGAAGAGGTTTGACCATATGCCAGTATGGTAACATTAAATCCTATGACACAGCAATAAGGTTTAAAATTGCTCGGTTCAATGAATTGTATTTATAAAAAAAGAGGACCTTGGAATTTTTTTTTTTTTTTTTATAAATCAACTATATAGAAACTAAAAATAACCTTTTCATTCAGAAAAGGCACGTGATTTTACTGATTTTACTTTTTTAACACTTGAATCATGCGATAACTATTTTTGTATAGCTTTCAACAAAAAACAAATAATAATAATAACAATCATAATAATCATAAGAATAAATAATGATAGATTTTTGAACATTACCTTCTAAGAATTTATCAACCATACTTTTAATACAGCGATCATATATATCTCTTTGGGATGATTCAGGACCAAATACATGATCAAATGTGAAAGTTTGTTTCTTTTCACCTAGAACAGTGACTTGATTTGGAGCGAATAATGTCGTTGAGAGAACATTTCTTTGAAATCGTGTGGGTAAATTTACCAAATCTTCGGCCGTTAATGGTCTTATTCGAAGTGCTTTATGATAAAAATAAAAGGTATAATTAATTTATTATAGTCTTTTTAAAAAGTTGAAGTTCTTTTTTCGTAAGTTTGTGTGACTAACCAACTTGCACCGTTGTGTTTTCGGAAGTCGTCATATTTGACATTATATTAATTTTAATTGATAAAGAATTCTTTATTGGGGAAGAAACAAATAACTAAATACAAAGCCCAGTGTTTTTTTTTTTTGGTTAAACTAAAATTAAGGGATTTTTTTTTTAAATAATAGAAAAATTTCCTGGGAGCCAGCCCGCATAAGGGTCGGAACAAAAGAAAGAATACTTTCAATTTGCTGATACGTTATAGGCACTAATTTTTTTTTTTTATATATATTTTTTACAAAAATAAGAAAAAATCGGTAAAATTTTTTACAAACGATAAAAAGGATGGTAAAAAAGAATCTTTTCGATAATTTGCTAGATTCTGAGGTAGTGACTTGCGATATATGCTGTTTTACTTCGTTGTTGGTGGGACAAAAATAATCGTTAACAGGATAATGAACGAATGAAAGTAGGTTGGATGGGAAAAGGCGTGCAAGACAATAATGGTATGTGTAAAGGAGAGAAAAGATAATTTCGAAAATATTGGTCAATATTTTCGTATGTAAGTAGTTTATCTATCGTAAGGCAAATATAATCTCGGCACCGTATTTGGAAATTAGTAATATAACGTGTACTAAAAATTATGATTTGGTAAATTTACCAATGCATTAAATTACATGTTTATACAGAAGGGATAGAATGACCGGTGTAACATTTAGAAATTATACAAAACGGTACGGTTGCAATAGTGGGGTTACGCAAACAATTTTATCCTTGTTATTAAGTGCATTCAAAAAGTGATATTAAATCTGTTTTTAGAAGATTGTTATACTAATTACTATTATTGTAGAAACAGTGGCTGTAAACAATAAAATATATTGGTGTTTGAAGGAGAACCAATGGTAAAAATTTTTAGGACGAATTATGTCCCTTATTTGCAAATTCAATTTGAACTTTCGGTATTACACAATGAATATCTCGAACATGTTCATCCTTTTTGATTATTTAATCCTAGTTAGTCTTCATCTTTTTAAAGTTACGTAAATAATGCAGGAAAGCAGATTTGGTTTGTTTGTGTCTCTGCAATTCAAGTCAATTCAAGTCAATTCAAGTCAATTCAGGTCAATTCAAGTCAATCCAACTCAAGAAACGTTTAGTGCGGAATACAAAGTTTTTTTTTTACAGGAGAGACGATCATTGATAAGCGACAGATAAATATCAATGAAAATAAAAAGATCGATATATTTAAATACTGACATACTGTATGTATCGACATAGTTTTGATATTTAGTCTTTTTTTTTTTTTTTTTTAAGAATATTTGGCGGTAAAATTAACGTTAAGAATTGCCACAAAGATCGTCTTGCATTTATATATTTAAAATACCATGTACGCAACATTCATAAAGAAATTAATATATTTCAGAATGAAAAAAAGCAAATTTTTTTTAATTAATTTAACGGTTTTTACAATTATTTCTCTTCCTCCCTTGGCATGCACTATTATGTTTGTGACTTTTTTACGCATGATACAATAAGTTATATAATAATAATAATATAATAATAATAATAATAATAATGATAATAAAATAATTATACGTAATTTATAGTTGATATATCCCTAACTTTTTTTTTAGTAACGGAAACCACTAATGGCTTATTTTGTTTAAACTAACTTTATATATTTTTCGATACGCATATATTGAAAATTGCATAGTTTTTGTAAGAGACAAAGATTGGTTTAACCGTGAACGTCGAACTTCTGCTTATCATGACAAATTCAGTTAACCTATTATATACGAATGTAACAAAAAATATATGACGGAAAATTTTGTGTATACAAATTTGTACGTACACAAATATGTATACATACCCTCGATGATACTGTTGATTATATGACATCATCACATTTAACAAAGAAAACTGAAGATTTATTCCTTAATAAATTATCCTTGGTAACTATGGCGCAGATTAATAAATATTTGCTAAATATGTCATATTAATCTTGCCTAGCTACCGTAATTTTAGCAAATAGAACCCGGATCCTTACATTCCTAGACTTTAAAACTTGATTAGTACCCTCCTGGAACTGACAATTCACTCTCGTTATAATGAACTCTCGATATACTCGATACAGTAGCATTCTCTTGATATAAGCTATTGTGAAGGATTTTTCAGCTCGACGACTTCACTATAATGAGTGTAAGTTATATCTAGCTTGATTAAATTGACAGTGAGCGAATGTTTAACAAGGAGCTACTATATGTTGAAATTCAGTAAGATATAGCATAGTATTCAGTAAAATAAAAATGTGAATTGGATGATTCAGTTCATTAATCTTCATAAAGTATCGTATCCCAATAGCGTAACAGTTTGCTATGGTCTTTCTATAGATTATCAATATCATCCCGAGAAAGTCATATTAAACAAAAGGAACCGAACGGAATGTAATCGTTGTAACGGTTATTCCATTATATGCGTATGTGTCATCGATATATGCGCATAAATATCGTCATTGTTACATTATTGAATTGTATTATATAATTCCAACAAATTTTGCAGTATCTGCCTGTAAAAATATTTGTAAAACAATTTTTTTAAAAATTTTTTTTTGACAAATGAAAATAAAATACATGATTTTATGACAAGATTACGAATTTTTATTATAATTATATTGATTTTTTGTGAATATGATGCAGTCTAGAAAAATACGTAAAGAAAATAAGTAAAAAATGCGAAAACAAAATTCAATTCAATTTTTATTTTACGCATATCGACAAGTGTTTCGCTCTAAACCCTTTACCAAGGTTCGAAACATATTGTCTTTCGAATTTCGTTTCTTCCAACTTCCGAAACGTCCGAAATTACCCACCTAGAATTATACTTATTAGGCGAAGCTTTCACATGATGATGAAGACGAAATCTAAACCGGAGAAAGGATCTAAATTTTAAAATAACCGATTCAGGTTTACATAGACCTAATTTAGAGCAAATAAATATTTTTGAAACTGAGTCGGTTATTTTATATTTAGATCCTTTCTCCAGTTAAGGTTTCGTCTTCATCATCATGAGAAAGCTTCGCCTAATTAATATAATATTAGTTTCGTCCAGTTTCGGAGGGTTCTCCCAGTTTCCAAGTTCGGATGTTACGCCCTGTAGAAAGCTTCAGTTTAGGCCGAAACGCTTGCTTACTCTAAATGATGTTACACTACTGATTCTTCACCCGGTGTGCAACATATAAAAAAATCATTTTACAATACCAGATCATTCCGCTAGTACATGTTATGGTTATAATCCCACACCATTTT